AACAACAAAGAGTCCATGCACTTATTTCTCTGGCTAATCAACAGTCCAAAGGAGAACCTGGCATTCATGGGCCTCCCCCTAGCCCATGTTACCTTTCCATCTATTCTAGACTATCCTTTCAAATACCTCACTCGACTACTGCTTCAGTTCCTTTTACTGCTGTTGGAAATTATCTAGCCTTGATCCTTAGCCATTTTCTCTACTCATCCAGAAACTCTGCCCTTCATGTGGGTAAGCTGACACCTCAAGTTAAACTTCCCCATCTTCTGTTGTAATCCTGTCCTATGCGCTTTAATTGAAGGAGCGATGGACCAAGAGTTCTACTCCCAATTTTGCCTTTCTTAGCTCTATGATGTCTTCACCTTGCGGGTCTCGTTTACTCACTGGTAAAATGGGAATAACTCTGTCATGCCCTCCTCTGAGGGCTGTCGTGGAATCTGTATGAAATGCCAAAGAAATCTAAGGGTTATCATTACTTGGGGCATCCAGGTTGTTTAGAATACCATGAGGAGAAAGTAGAGCCTGCTGCCTTGAGGGAGGACCTGTTGTTACCCAGTTTCCCAACACTCACACACTGGTAGAATTCCCGGTATCGGCCACGGGTCATGGCTGGGTTATCCCGTCGGTATACCTTCGCTATGTGGTAGCGCTTGATGTTGGTCAGTTTATTCATTGCCAAATATCGAGCAAAAGGAACCTGATGGCAAAGGGTTAAGGAGAAAGCCTCTCCGATCACAACCCGTCTGGAAGTTGGTTATCACCAACCAACAGAAGCTGAGGTCTAACCCCTCCCTATGTGGGTTAAACTGTCCCTGATAAGATTAGCTGCATTTCTGAATTATTGGGAAGATTCAACTCTGCTATCACATGGGGCAAGTGAGAAACAAAGTTACGGTTCTTTCTCTTAGTCTCCCCTGGGCTATCCTGAGCATGGTCGGGGGCTGAGATGGTACCCTAAGGAGCAGAGAAAGGGCACTATCTGGGATCTCAAAGCAGATAGTTCTTAACCATAGTTGGGAGATGAGAAAATGTGCTGTTGGCCAACTAAGGACTATGTCTACTGAACAGAGCAAAGCAGAAGTATTCTGGAACCAGAAGATCATTGGTTTAGTTGCAACTGAGCTCTAATAACTCACTCAGGTTCTGTGAGATTACTAAGGCTATGTTCTCATTGCCAAAGGCCTCAGATTTACCTGTGTCTGCCTGTCCCCAAACCTGAGGCTACAGATAGCCCTAGCCCAATGCGAGAGCCCAGTGAGACCCAATCCATCCAAAGTGCCAAGAGTCCAAGTTTAGAAAGATACAGTGAGATCATAGCGAAGGGACAACAGCTCTCCACCCTGGTCCTTCAGGTCATAGATAAGCTTAGAGTCTTCACCATACTTTCCAGTCAGTGTTTCCTGGAGAAAAATCAAGAAATTTGGTCAGAATTATTACTATAACAATGTATAAAGGCAAGTTTAGAACAGTGGTTCTTAACTTTCCTAATGCCTCGACCCTTTAATACAGTTCATGTTGTGGTGACCCCCCCAACCATAACATTACTTTCATTGCTGTTTCCTAACTGTAATTTTGTTAGTGTTATAAATCGGGCAACCCCTGTGAAAGGGTTGTTTGAACCCCAAAGGGGTCACGACCCACAGGTTGAGAACCACTGTTTTAGAAGCAAAAGCATACTACTCTATCATGATGGGCTTCAACGTGACAATTTGCTCTACTCTCTATCCCAATGCTTACATATTTGTTATAGTTATAATACAAGGAAAGATCAAATTTATGTTGATCACCGCTCATTGTGACATAGTTGAAGGGTCACTTGTAAAAGCTGCATAACATTTCATTCGGAAGAAGCCATGCACTTTCCTCTCCCTAGTGTTATATGGTCTGCTATTTTGGCAATTCCATTTTTTTATATAATGTTTCAGTAAACATATTTGGAAACATAGCTTAAAAATTTTTTTTGTTGAAGAAAAATTTCTAGTAGTGGGTTACTAGATCAATAAGCATGAATACTGTTATGATGCCCGAGGTCTGAACAATGTCAAAGTCAAAACTGAGAATGCCTTAAGAGCATTACAGTGGTGATCTATCCAACAAAGTGATAAGTATATTCCCCTACCAGAATGGCAAAGATTAAACATTTTGAAAACTCCAGTGTATAGAAACACACACATTCACAAACTGGTTGGTAAAACTGGTATAACTTTTGACTCAGCAATTCCTATGAATTCTAGTCTAGAAATTTACCCTGCAGAATTACCATGATCAGACATTGTTCTAACACTAAATGTGTATCAATTAACAAGACAAAAGTGGTTTATGCCTTCAGGGATCTTCTATACTTAGAAGAGAAAGGAAATACATTAATATAAGGAAGCAAATTAACATATTTCAGATAGGAAATAAAACAAGCTGACGTAATAAAGTTAAGGGCTACTTTTTTTAGTGTTATTTTTATTTATTTATTTTGAATCGGGGGCTTGTACAACGCTTATCACAATTCATACATCCATCCATTGTGTCAAGCACATTTGCACATTTGTTGCCATCATCATTCTCAAAACATCTGCTTTCCAAGGGGCTTCTTTAGACAAGACAGTTGAAGGAGATTTTTTTGAGAAATGGCATTTTAGCTGAAATATGAAATTAAAGTCATGCAAAGAGTGGTGAGGAAGAGGAAGAGTGAAGAGGAAGAACAAAGGCCCTGAGATAGAAACATACTTAGTTTGCTCCATGAGTAGACATAAGACCATAAGTTAGGGTGTGTAAGGCAAAGAACATCATGAGATAAGGGGGAAAGGTAGGTAGTGGCCAGAAAATGTAAGGCCCAATCGGCCTAAGTAAAGGGGTTGGATTTTATTATAAATGCAATAGAACATTTCTGAAGCAGAGAGTAACTAACTCAAACTGGTTTTTAAAAGCAAGCAACTAGAAACCTAAAAGTCAAGCAATAGAAGACGGGTTGCATACTTTATGTGTACAAGGTTTCTATGAACCTAGAAAATATCTCTAGTAGAGGGGTGATGGAATTCAAAGACAGGAGCCATAGCAGTAACTTCCACTCCTACAAAGGGCTTTCTTTTGGAAGCTGCTGGCCGCAACCATGGTGAATAAAAGGCACAGCCTCTCCCTCCAGGCCAGACCTCACTCCCTCCTCACTGGGGAAGAGACTTGTACGTCTACACAAGAAGCAAGGACTACTGCGTCTGTAAAGATTTTTGTTGCAAATTCTAACCTCTATGCCTGTGGTTATAATCCCATTTATGAATGAGCTGCCTTTGTCATATTAATGACCAGAATTAGTGTAGAGTGTATCTTCAGGTAATCTCTTTAAACACACACACAACCACACACACACACACAACCACACACACACACACTCAGAGATTAATAAAGTGAGGAGAGGGGGACTGATGCCAAGCCAGGTCTCCAAGGAACCAGGATACAAGCTGAAGAGACAAGGATCTTTTCCCAGAGCCGAGAAAGCCTTCCTTCAGAGCCTTCTCCTCAGGCCACAACCCCTTCATACAGTTCCTCACGTTGTGGTGACCCCAACCATAAAATCATTTTCGTTGCTACTTCAAACTGTAATTTTGCTATTGTTATGAATTAATTGGGTGACCCCTGTGAAACTCAATCAACCCCCAAAGGGGTCATGACCCACAGGTTGAGAACTGCTGCTTTAGAGTCAGTACCCTGAATTCACACTGCTAGTTTACTAAAGCTATAAGAAGAAAATATATTTCTACTCTCACTGGTGTTGAGCTCTCTCGTATCCTCCCCTCTGCGGTTCATGTACCTCCCCTCCCGTGTTATTTCTCCTCACCTTTAGTTCAAATACAGGGGTGTCAATTACTTCTGCGCCATGGCGCTTAAAGCATTTGATGATCACTTCAAACACTTTCTCCCGAACTGCCATCTGCCGGGGACTGTAGTCTCGTGTGCCCTGGGCATTAAAATTAGCCAAAGAACCAGGGGCGGAATTTAAAAACATGCAAAAACAAAACAAGCAAAAAGAACACGCTCTGGACACATAGAATGACTTCAAAATGAGAACAGCAAATCCTGCACCACGCTTAGGTTTTACTGAAGTTGTAAACCAAAAACCACCCGCATGAAAATGCAAACTAAAAGCCATTGCCATTGCCGTTGTGTGAACTGCGGCACACGGCAACCCCATGTGTTTTAGAGAACGGATTCATTTGTAAAGCAATTTGCTAGGCCTTTCTTCTGTGGCAGCACTGGGTGGTGGCCCTATTAATTCTCCCGGTCATTTGCTATCATTTTCTAAATTCCATTCCCTTTGTTTAGGTTGGCGTCACTAGGGTGAGTCAAGAAGAATTGCTACTAGGTTCCAAGTCCTACATGCACAGGTTTATTCCAGACAACATGTGTTTAAACATGTTTCTGCTGCAATCAGCGGGTGGATACAGTCAAGTTTTCTCAGTTTTTGTCCCATTAAGGTGCCTTCAAAAAAAAAAGGTTCAATCAAAGCAGTGGCTTCTCAGGAGATCTGCTGGGACAGTTGAATTCAGGCACAGAGATCAGATCACAAGGTTACGGGGACTGTCTCAGGGCCGCCAAAGGGCTCATCCTGACAGGGTTTCTTGAAGGGCATAGGACAATCAGGGAGGCGGTGAGGAAGACAACGGAAAACTGCGCTGCTGACAAAAAGGCCAGGGGACTTGCAGAGAAGTTCTTCCCCATCGCAATGCACCTTCATAGTCTTTGAGGGCAGCATCGTCTGAGCACGTCACTGGGAAACCGTGCCTCAGCCGGCCACGTGACACCCCTGGTCTTGCCCCTTTAGACTTCCTGCTGTTCTCTACGTTCAAAGGATATTTAAAATAAATACAATTTGAGTCCTTTGAAAAGTTTTTTAAATGTGGTCTTGATGTGGTATAAAATTTCAATCTTTAGAGATGGAAATATTGCTCCCAGAAGTGTTTAGACCTAGATGGGGCTATGTCAGGTAACAATAGCTTCACATTTCTTATTTTATTTTTAGAAGCTTCTGTGATTTGTAGCAACTTTTTGACTTGTCCTGGTATTTCCTAGAATTCTTTTTTTTTTTAATTAATTAAATATTTTATTGTATTCTTGGTGCCGGGTTACACAGCAGCTTAGGTTCCCATGCAACAACCTCTACCCAAAGTGTTAGTGACATTGGTTACATTCCTTACAATGCATGGAAATATTCATTATTAATGTTCTAGTTTTATCTGTTCATTTTTGTTTCCTAGAATTCTTAAAACTCTTCCCTGTGAGTTTTTTCTAAGAGTCCTCTGGGACACCAGAATATTTCCCTGCCTAATAGAGCACACTTCCCTGCTGACAGCCTCAAAGCCAACTCCAATGGCTTAACTGAATTCCAAATTTTACAAGCAACTTTTTCCTCCCAATATAAATTTTCTTTTTACACCTAATACTACTGGTTTTCTAATTTGTTTCTGTGTTCTACAGATACATTAAAGGATATCGAGAAGAAAAAGTTGTTACTTAAGGCCCCGTAGCAAGTTTATGGCAGTCAGAATTAGAACTGTTCTTTCAAATCAGAGCTCCTAGGTTTTTTTTCCAAATCAGAGCTCCTAGTCTAGGTTTTATACTCCATCACAGTTCTTAAACTGTATGGTCTCAGGAGTCCAAAATGTATGGTACCTAGCAATATTTACTGTACTAGAAACTAAAGCAGTAAAGGAAATTTAAAATTTGTTAAATGTGAACATAAATCACATTTAAAGAAAATATAACTGTTTTCCAAAGCAAAAGAAAAAAAATTGGTGAGTGGCATGAATTTACATTTCTACAAATCTGTAACATCAGGCTTACTAGAAGACAGCTAGGTTCTCATATGAGCCTTTTGCATTCCATTTGTTGTGCTATGTTGTTCTGGTTGAATACATTACGAAAATCTGGACTTACACAGATGTCATTATAAAAGGAAAGAATATTTTAATAAGATTTTCAGCCAATTGTGAATATATCTTTAGGACACTGCAAGTTAAGCAAGTGGTAGTTTTTAAGAGACTGATTGCAATCTGGGATCTGAAACTTTTACCAGTGCACTTATCACACATTTATATTAAACTCCATTGGTTTATTTTTACACTTGGGAGGCATCATTTGCCTATGCATGACTTTACAGCATGACTAATCTGTCATTTGGAAAACACTGGCTCACTCTCAACGGCTATACAGATGTTCCAAATGTTGGCCCATTTCATTACAGATACTATCAGAAACTACTATAAGCTAATATCACTGCAGATCTCATCAGGATTAGGAAGCTGTCCAAGCTCACAGTGGATGATACGTGTTTCCTAAATTTCTTACTTTCACCCCAAGTTTGCATTTCATTAGAGGGAGCACACACTGTCAGGTGCTTTCTTTGAGGTGATCATCTCACTTGGTTCATTTTTGAAAAGATATTTGTCAAATAGCCAAGTCAGAAAAACCATAGTTTGACTGTCAATTGTTTTTCCATATAAAAGTGGTGTTCCATGGGAAAAGTAAGTAACTAGATCAGATTATACCTCACTTAGTGGCACAAATGCTTTTCCTATTTTGAAATGCAGCAGAAGTGCTATGTGTATATCTCCCATCTCACCACACAGAATTTTAAAAAGGAGTGTACTCAGGAGGCATGATTCAATAAAATTAAATCTTGTCCTTTAGTACAATTGCACCACCAGTGCTAATGCCAGCCTGGTAAAATAAGATCAGTTCATGGCACAAGACTCTTTTAAGAGGACTTCAAGGTCAAACGATCTTCAGAATATTGCTGTTAAAATAAATCAGACACCAAGAAGTGTGTTCCAACAAGTAATGTGGATATTAGCTCTCCAATATAATCTCAATTTCTTTTAACACTTTGTCATGGGAATTTTCAAATATACATTAGAAAGAAAAGTATTGTGGCTCACCATGGACACATTCAACAACCTAGTTTTGTTTTATTTTCTGGAGTATTTAAAAATAATTCTAAGGCATCCTATCATTTTCACATAAGTACTTCCATATGATTCTCTAATATACAAGGACTTAAAACCTTTACTACAATCAACAAACTTTAACAGAAAGTCTTTACTATAATGCCTAAACTATGTCCAATTTCCTCTGATTGCCTCCAAAATATCCCTTGGGGGGTGGCTTGTGGCACTGTGGGTTAGGCATTGGACTACTAACTACAAGGTTAGCAGTTCAAGCTGCCACTCACTCCTCATGAGAAAGATGAAGCTGTCTTCTATAAAGATTTACAATATTGGGAACCCTATAAAGGTCACTATGAGCTGGAATAGTCTTAATGACAGTGGGCTTATTTTAGGTATTTGAATCAGATTCTAAATGTAGTCTATGTATTGTATTTGGTTGATATATCTCAGGTCTGTTTAATCTACTACAGTTTGCTTTTTAAAATGTACTCTACATTTAATTTTTTGAGGAAATTGGATAATTTTTTTCCTAAAGAATTTTTCATGGTCCAGATTTGGCCAATGATATCCTTGTGATGCTATTTAACATATTCTTCCATCTCCCCTATTTCCGATATACTGGCAGTTAGGTAAAAACGCCTGATTTGACTCAGATTCAATTTTTCTTGGCAATAATATTTCATAGGTGGTGCTGTGTACTTCCTATTGCATCACACCAAGAGAAACATGTCTGGTTGTCCTACTTTTTAAATTGAGTGATGTTAATTAAGATTGCTCACCCAGTCCTGGTGAGGCCCACATGCATTTATCATATAGTCTCCCAGTAATTTATGGTCACCACCTTGGAGTTGTACACTGTCTCTTTAACTTTTGAAATTGAGTTGTGTGTAAAAAGTACAGCTCAATGAACTTAGGTGCCTAAGTGATTGACCTTAAAAAGCAGCCTGTCATCATAAGGAAGGCAGACCTTTGTAATTATATATCCATGTGTGGGTATATAATTACTTGTTTGGTCTTCTTCAATAAAATGTCAGTTCCGTTGAGTACAGCCTATATATCATGTTCAATACGGTAAATTTGGAGGTGGTATACAGTGTTAGGCACATAGTAAGTGCTCAAAATTTTTCTGCTGATTGAAAGAACGGAGTGGCAACGGTAGGCAGATTCCCTGAGCACCAGCTGGCTCAGTGTCAGTGTCGGCCACCACTGTTCCCTCTTCCTAGTTTCTGCCATCCCAGGACCAATCGGGTGAAATCCAGTCTAACCCCATCCCCAATGCTGTTTCTTTGGCAACCTTTCAGATAACCCTCAGTCATCCAGTTCGGAGTAAAAAGAATATGAGCCCTTGTGGATGGGACTGGGTAGGAAGGGGATAAGGTTTACCTTGGGGGTCTTGAGCACAAACTTCTGTTTCCCTTCATCTGGGCCCAGCTGCGCCTTCAGCTTCAGGAGTTTTGCCACCTCCTCCTCGATCTGTGTAAAGAATGGAGGCAAGACGCTGGGCCATCTACCTGCCACGCCCCGGCCACTGATGCAATCTCCCTCCCTCATCAGGATCTGGGGTAGATCTCTTTCCCCGGACTAGTTTTCCTTCTTTCAGTACACCCCCGACCCCCTCCCGCCCAACACGAACAACTCCCTATCAACCCAGTCCCTTCCCCCACAAGCCCATCCTCCCTCCAGACCACCCTGGCTTCCGATCCTCCCTGGCCTTGCCTTGGCCTTTCCCAAGGCCGTGAGGTCCCAGATGCCCAAGCGTTAACCTGGTCGGTGCCAGCCTTCTGCTGCTTGAGGGTTCGCACGCGCTCTCCCTGCAGTCGCACCAGCTCCTCCAGCGCCGCGCGCTCGGCCATGCTGGCGGCCAGTTCAGGCTGACGGCTCGCCAGCGCCGCAGCGGTCTCCGCAGCCTCAGCCTGGATGTCTTCCGGCTACCGAGTCGCTGCCCAGAGTGGCCAGAGAGCCTCCGCTTAGCAAATCACCACCCACTTCCGGTCCCGACCGGAAGTGTCGACGACGTTAGCTGCTAAACAAGCCGGAAAGGCACCGTGGTTAGCCTTCTTGACTTGGAGCTGAGAGACTGCTTGCCGTCTCTCCGGTTTTCCGGCTTCGCCTCTGCAGCGCCCTGCACACTTCCCGGAGTCTGGCCTGCCAGGACCAAGTGCCTTCCGGCCCGGTCCCGGAAAGCCGACCTGCTAGCGCGGCATGGCCCCGCTCGGACTAGTGCCCGCGAGGGCCTGCGCTGCTCTGTTCAGCCCGCTGCTGCGGCCGCCCCGCGCCGTCCGCGCCCGGGCCGTCCGTTCTCACAGCCAGGTGAGCCGGACCGAGAGCGCTCCGGTGTGTGAGCCAGCCTTCCGATCCAAAAGCATGGACTCGCTCCAGTAATATTACAGTTAACTTTATTGAGAGTCCACTGTGTGCCAGCTCTGAACTAAGCGTTTTAAATACCGCAATCTTCAGAGCAATCTTGAGCCATTAGGATTATTTCCAGTTTACAGAAGAGGAAACAACTGCAACGGCGAGAGCGGCTGGAGGATTTGAATCGTCGATTTGTGGTTAGCAGCCCAACGCTTACCCGACAGCACCACCAGGGGGATATTTTAATACATGTCCACCTTCACAAAGTTACTGTTTTAGACTTTAGATAAGTAAAAGTAAATATACTGTAAATTCATACCCCAAGCGCAATCTGAGGCAGCAAACATAACATTTAAGAAAAATAGATGGTGAGAATGATGAGGGCAATGCATGTACAAATGTGCTTTACACAATTGATGTATGTATGGATTGTGATAAGAGTTGTATGAACCCCTAATAAAACGATTAAATTAAATAAAAATACGTAGATGGATACTCCTTCTGAGATTGCTAACACCTTACATTGTCTGGCTACAGTTCTCATTAGAACTTATTTCAAAATGAGTGCTTGGGGTTTTGGAATTGTAGATGAGGGATTGTGGCTATGAGTATTGCCACACCCTTATTTCTGGAAGGGCTACAGCCTACTCGTAATAGGCAAATAAACCACAAATTGTTTTGCTTTTTTTTCAAAAGATCCTATTGTATTTCTAGCTGATGCTTCTTGTTATGAGTTCAGGCTTTGCCTTACTGATTTTTAGTCACCGTATCCTGCCACACTTGGTTTTGTAGCTCAACTAAGGGACTCATTCCTGTTCATTCCACCGGCTTGTTTTATGCCCTAGGATAGTTCTCACTACCTTCAAATAATATTAACTTCAGCTGCAAGCCAAATGACCCGAGTTGACCTTACAAACTCTTAAATTTTGCCGTTTAAATAGGAACTGAGAGATGGAAAGGATTATAGTAATCTCTGATTCTAGATGTTTGTTAATGGTGGATGATTGTTAATGGTAGCAGTGGGTTGTTCTAGGCCTTCATTATTCTCAGGTGCTTAAACTTTTTCAGACATTGAAAAAACTAAATACAGTAAACACTGGTATGGTAACACTGATGTCATGTCTATTACCTGTGTCTTGTCGATACAGCATGGATTCTTGAAGGTGGGGGCTGGAATTTGGATAGATAATGATGCTCAGGCTTTCTGTTGCTCAGGACCAAAGGTTTTTGCAGGTTGGTTGTCCACCGGGCCACAGATGTCACAGGTCTGGCCAGTGTCCAAGGGAGCCACATCTGACATTCCTTCTTCTGCCAGGTTGCAGGGGCAGTGTTAACATCTCAAGTGAAGCCAGATCAAAAGAAATCAAATTTCATTATCAAGACCCCAAAGGTAATACCCTTTGCTCCACCTTGAAGGACTGCCCAATGTTCAACTCCTTGGATGCCTCTCAATGTCTTTTGTAACATTACTTTTTAAAACAATATCTTTACTATTCTTGAAATAATGGGTGGGACTCAGGATCATTTAAATGCACAAAATTTCATCTCTAGACCTTAGGTTATAGTTGAACTCTTCGCTTTAAAACGACCCCCCCACCCACTTGAATGCTGTTTTTGGTTCTCAGGGCACCAGGGATCTTAGTCCGCAGCAGATGGTGGTAAGAGAGAAAATTCTTGATACGGTTATCAGCTGCTTTAAACGGCATGGAGCAAAGAGGTTGGACACCCCAGCATTTGAGCTGAAGGTAAAAGGAAAAGAAAGGATGCCTAGAACCTTATTTCTTCACCTGGCTTAAAAGGCTTCTAGCCTGTGTGCTAGGGTCCATGGAACTGTGGTGCTTCTTTGTGTTTGACTCCTGCAGGAAATGCTTACAGAAAAGTATGGAGAAGACTCTATGCTCATCTATGATCTGAAGGATCAGGGTGGAGAGCTGTTGTCCCTTCGCTATGACCTTACTGTATCCTTCTGAAAGCTGGAGCCTGAACCATCTCTTTCTACAACCTGAGTAACAAAAGGGAGGAGAGTGAGTCTGAGACCCTATATAGGTCCATTGGGAGTCTCTACTCCCACTTTCTCCTAGAAGGTCATTTTGTCAGTAGAACCTGGCTTAGAATGTATCCTCAACCCTGTTAGGGGAGCTTTCAGAAGTTCCACAAATTTCTGGCCCCTAGAGTCAGAATTGGCAGTCATCAATAGCAGCGAGAGCCTCCAAAACCAGAAATCAATCCCACTGCCATACAGTCAGTTCCTACTCAGAATGACCCTATAGGACAGAATCGAACTGGCCCCTTGGGTTGTAAGTCCTTTTTAAAAAAAAATCATTTTATTGGGGACTCTCATAGCTCATAACATCATACATCAATTGTATCAAACATATTTGTACATATGTTGCCATCATCATTTCTAAACATTTTAATTTTGAGCCCTGGTATAAGTTCTTCTTTTTCCCCCCTCCCTCCCCCACCCTTCCACCCTCATGAATCCTTGATCAATATATTGTTATTGTTAATTTGTATCTTACACTGTAGTTGTCTCCCTTTACACACGTTTGATTTGTAACTCTTTATGAGAGCAAACAGCCACTGGTGAATTGGACTTGCTGCTGGCAACACGTTAACCCCACCAGGACTCCAGAGATTCTTAATTCTGGGGTGGACATGCTTAGCAATCTGCATTTTAAACAGGTATCCTAGATTATTTGGGAGAAAGATGCGGCTGTCTACTCCAATAAAGAGTTACAGTTTCGTAACCCACAGGGGCAGATCTGCTCTGCCCTAAAAGGTTGCTATGAGTTGGAATTTTCTGGAAGGCAGTGAGGAGGTTTTGTGTTTGTTTCATTGGTTTTTAATCCTGGGTAATTAGATGCAGGTGATTGTACGCCTATCCTCTTAAAATTAATGGCTTGGAAGTTGTAGGCATAACCAGGTTCAGAAACTTGACTATTTTGAGAGTGTTGAGACTTGATCTGTATGGAAAATGATTGCCCAGACCTGAAGTTCATGCATCATTTCTGCCCAGACCCGAAGTTCATGCATCATTCCTGCCCAGACCCAAAGTTCATGCATCATTCCTGCTTGCCCTTCTTTCTCCTGAACTTTCAGCATGGCTAGGTCAGATTCCTTTATTTAATACTATTTAATACATACTGCATGGCAGACACAGCTAAGATTTGGGGGTAGTAGAAGACAAAACCGAGAAGGTCCTTGTTCTGGTGCTAGTGGATGAGACCCATTTGCTAGAGGCCCAACCCTCTCTCATGTCTATGCCTACAATTTGGATGCAGTATCCTTCTTCCTTAACCTATTTATGTGAGGTTCCTTTTGCTCGTTATCTGGCCATGAATAAACTGAAGAAGATGAAACGCTATCATGTTGGAAAGGTGTGGCGGCGGGAGAGCCCAACCATAGTCCAAGGTCGTTATAGGGAGTTCTGCCAGTGTGTAAGTGACCTGGTAGGGGGAGTGCAGTTTGAGATTTCTGGAAGCAACATGGGAACTGAGTGATTAGTGAAGTGGTTTTTTTCCCCCTCTCTTTTTCTTTGGTATAGGATTTTGATATTGCCGGTCAGTTTGACCCTATGATTCCTGATGCAGAATGTTTGAAGATCATATGTGAAATCCTAAGTGGGTTGCAACTGGGGCACTTTCTTATTAAGGTGAGATTATGACTAAAGACAGGGATGGGAGAAGTCTGAATTTGCATGATGTTATTTATGCTAGTCCCAAAACATAGGTGACTCAGCCCTTAAGCCTACAGGGCATAGTACAGATGTTGTATTTTATATATACTCTTCCTGTGAGACTTCTTTTCTCTCCCTTTTATGAGTCAACAGAGCAGTGACTGCCATTATTTCAGAGGAAAGCACATTGGCAGGGTTCTTGGGTTACTTATATTGAATTTATAGGTCAATGACCGGCGGATTATAGATGGGATGTTTGCTGCCTGTGGTGTTCCTGAAAACAAGTTCCGAGCCATCTGCTCCTCAATAGACAAACTAGACAAGGTAAAAATGAAGACATGCTTCAGTAGATCCTGTATAGGTTTCTGCCCTGCCCTCAAATCTACATTTCTAAAATAAAATAAGGGGATGGTAACTGCATGTGAACTTTTTCTGGGAGGGTGGCAGGGGACATCCTGAAGCCAGGCCTGAGTTCTGCTATGCAGTAGGGACTATGACAGAATTTCGTAAGCTGCCTCTGGCTTTGCTGAATGTTGTGTTAACTACCCCTCGTACTCATTGAATGAACGTGAGATGCCATGCCCCTTTACAGTTAAAGAGAAGGCTGTGAGACCAGGCTAATATTTGGGTATTTTGCAGATGTCTTGGAATGATGTAAGGTACGAGATGGTGACAAAAAAGAGCCTGGCTCCTGAGGTAGCTGATAGAATTGGGGAATATATCCAACGTTGTGGTAAGAACCAGTGTTTTCACAGTTGTGTGCTTGAACCATAGTGAGTGACATGTATACCACTTCTGACTCTGAAACAGTTCCTTCTCAAACTTGATGCTAAGCTCCTAAGCCTGGCTTGAATTCAATTCCCCTTTTACATAGGATAACCACTTTGTTTTCATATGGCAATGGTTAAGGCACAGGAGAAGTACCTGGTCATGTGATCTTTTTAAAAGAAAATTAATAGGCTTGGCTGTACCACTTTAGAGATACATTTGGATGAAACCTATCTGGATGTGAAAATAATAAAATAATAGACCTTGTTTTCCCTCGTGTCGTTAGGTGGGGTATCGCTGATAGAACAACTACTCCAGGATCCCAGACTGTCCCAGAATAAACAGATCCTGGAGGGCCTAGAGGACATGAAATTGCTGTTTGAATACCTCACTCTATTTGGAATTGCTGATAAGGTAAGACGAGTTGAGAGTGGACTTCCTATTGAATTATGGTCTCCTAACATCCTGAGTCTTGACTAAAATTGACTATAATCTTGTCCCCACAGATGTCCTTTGATTTAAGTCTGGCCCGGGGTCTAGACTACTATACAGGAGTGATCTATGAAGCAGTGCTCCAGACCCCAAGTCAGACTGGAGAGGAATCCTTAAGCATGGGCAGTGTGGCTGCTGGTGGGCGCTATGATGGGCTCGTGGGAATGTTCAACCCCAAGGGCCAAAAGGTGCCATGTGTGGGACTCAGCATTGGGGTGGAGCGTATATTCTCTATTGTGGAGCAGAGAATGAAGGTAAATCCTAGGTATATATAGGTGAGTGGGGCCAGAGGCCCCAAACCTCTTGTGTTTTTAGAGGTAGAGTTGCATTGGTTTTCTGACTCTTTGTAACTTTCAGAGTTATTTACTAGTTTTCCTGCCTTCTCTCTCTTGCATTAGGTTTCTGATGAGAAGGTACGGACAACAGAGACCCAAGTATTTGTAGCCACACCACAGAAGAACTTTCTCCAAGAACGGTTGAAGCTAATTGCAGAGCTCTGGAATGCTGGGATTAAGGTATGCTGGAGCTGATATCTGAGCTATCTAGATATGTATGTAATTCAATCCCAAGCCCATTTCTACCTTAATGTTTAAGTTGGAACTCCAGTCCTTTTAAAATCTTCATTGGAGTTGCTTCTTAGGATAGAAGGGCCAGCCACTGTTTCTAACTTCCTTGAATATACTTGTACTACTAGAACTTGTGTACTATGGTTACATCAAAGCCCCCACCCGTCTTTATACTTTTCAGGCTGAGATGTTGTACAAGAATAACCCTAAACTACTAAGCCAGCTGCACTACTGTGAGAACACAGGCATTCAACTAATGGTTATTATTGGTGAGCAAGAAATGAAGGGAGGGGTCATCAAGCTCCGTTCAGTGGCCAGCAGGGAGGAGGTAAGTGAGGCAGGCAAAAATTGAGGAAATCTAATGTTTCAGCCCTAAAGAAATGTGTAACTTCTGACTGGAAGCTTAGTAGGGTGAACAGAGATGAATTGTAGTCCACTCCCAAACAATTATTGCTAGGTAGGTGGAAGGACAGGTAAAATCTGAATGGGTACATTGTGCGTAATCAACAAAAGATATCAATTCAGTGTTTGAATCTGAATCCCTTTTATTCATGAGAGTATATGTTCTGCAGGTTAACCTGAAGCACACACTATTCCCTACTGGTTGCTTAATTAGTACAAACAGCTGCAGAATAAAATGAATATAGAAAAGCATTAGCTAAAGAGCTGGTGTCACTTTTACATTTGTCACACGAGGGTTCTTTATGTTTCAGGTTGCCATTAAACGAGAGCATCTTGTGGCTGAAATTCAGAAGCGACTTTCTGATTCTTGATCCTTGCCCACCTACCATCTTTTGCTCTTTGTGGAAAAGGCTTCATTTAGGATTGAGTTCCTGCTGAGGATCACAATTGCTGGACAAGATGGGAGACAAAGTGCCTTTTGTCTCTTCCAGCCTTCCTTGCTACAGAATTATAAAAAGGCTCCTGGGCCCAATGGTTAACTTAGTGGGAGCAGCTATTCTGCAGGAGGGCAGATGACTGATACCTTAAAGAGACATGCTGTAACTGCAGAGGCTGAGCTGGCAGATTTCAAGTGCAAGCAAATGCTGCCACGTGCTGAGATTGTTGCTGTGAGCACAACTCTGGGAGAGTCATCCCAGGCTGGGAAGATTCGGAGCAATTGAGATCAGGACCCAAACAATGGACCTTGTATTACAACTTCTGAAGCTGAGACTGGTGAATTTGTTTACCACCATCACTTGACTTGCTCAATATTGGCTAGTTAGGCTGAACGCACTTGAGAAGAGGCACCAGTTGCTTTCTGCTAATATGTGAAGACAAATGCTAAGCCACTGCATGCAGAACATTGTCCAGATTGATCTGATATCTCTCTAGCCCATGCATTGTTAACAACGGCAGGACTGTCTGTTTAATAATCTTGGACGTCGGACTTTTTTTGGAGATCATTTCCCATGCCAGAATCACTGCTCTGACTATTCCATGCCCTGCATTGAATTAGATTGTATAAGTGATTGACTATATTAAATAAAACATTAAATGTAGTGGTTTGACTAATTTGTTATCAAGGGAGTAGGCCATAAAAATGCCTTTGAGTATACACTGGAAAGCTCTGAATGTGAGCTGAGAGGATGCTTGTGTGTTCAATAAAAAGAGCAGCTATAATCTCTCAAGCCACTGAAAAGCCACATAGTAAGCCATCTGCCAGAGTGCTTCACCATTGAGTACTACTGAGGACTGACCTTCCTGAATCCAATCATGATGAAATTGTGTGACATTGGGTGATGTTATGTCACCTAGTGGAAGGGAAAATTGCTTCAAGAAAAAGAAACAAGGTGCAAAAGTGCTTTCCATACATTTTCGGCCTTTGCAAACACTTTGGCACAAGTAAACGGGGTCTCTAGAGACTCTGTTAGCCTTAAAGGTGCTTTAGAAACGTGTGACAACGCACACAACGTTATTAGGCAAGATTAGAGGACACTGTTTCTGAACCTCATGCTTCCTCGTTTGTAAATATTGTTTAAATGCAGCAGCCCTTCTATTGGACACAATTGTGTTGAAAGAAAAAAAAAAAAACGTTGCAGGTGCCCTTACTTCCGTGTAGCTACATTTTTCCCATTGCGCCTGCGCCATCTCCTTGGAGGAGAGGCGGAGCCAGCAAGCCTATTTTAGGAGCCCTCCAATCCTTGCCACGGTTAGAAAAAGACACTCTAAGCTTATTGGAGGGCTAGTTTGCTCTACGGCAGACGGTCTCTTTTTGCGACATTTCCCGGCTTTCCATTCTCTTCGCAGGGAAGATGGCGTCGGGCAGTGGGGTATGTGTTGTGTGTTGAAGGGAGACTGGGGCTTCTCTGGGCGGAGTAGAGGCGGACTCTTGCACGGGACTGGCTACCCGACACTTCCTCGCGATCGCAGGGTCCGAGTGCGAGAAACTCCCCATAAGACGCGGGCGCAGGGTCAGTGGATTGGCGGAGGTCTGGGCTAGGGTCCCGAGGCCACTCCAGTCTCCTTAGACGGAGGTCCAGGGACCACCTTGGCAAAGAGATGCGATCCCCTTTGTTTTTGTAGAGTTCTGCGTATGGTTAGCGACGAATCTTGAGTGCTTTTTTTCTCCACAGACGAAAAACTTGGACTTTCGCCGAAAGTGGGACAAAGATGAATACGAGAAGCTCGCCGAGAAGAGGCTCACGGAAGAGAGAGAAAAGAAGGATGGTGGGTGCCTCCTCTAGCAAGAGCCCCGGGCCTTTACAGGCAACGTGATGGACAGAGCGTGCGGGGACTTACAATGTGTTTCCTCTTCCCTGTTTTAACCTTTAGCGCTTGGAGCGCTGCCTCCCTGATCCTACCTTGAGCTTCATGTATAGAGTGAGGCCAAGGATGTGGAAAGGGTTTTTGATATTTCTTTCTAGCACTGTCGTGGCCCTCTGCTTCCCTGCCCTCTCTTTGTTTGGTTCATTTGGTGCTTTCCGAATGTACAGAGACAGGATTTCTTAGCAATGGCAGAAGAAGCTGAGTGGAGTGTACTGTTGAGCGATACCCCCTCTTGACCACTCCTTTTTCTCTTAAAATTACTTTAGGAAGAGAACATATCTCTGGCCCAGTCAAAACCCTCCCAAGTAGTCTGAGAACAGTAGGGGTCTTTATCAGGGATGTGTGAGTGTTTCAACTAGTAGTACCGTTTCTGTAATGTCATGGAATTGGTGGCCCTTTCCTATACAAAAGTCCCACTTTACAATAAGGTATGTCTGATTTTCTTGTCTGTTTTCAAGTTTGTTACATCCTGCATTTTCACTTTCACAGCACCTTGTACCATCAACTCCTATTTTTTTATGCAACATGTATGACAGTATTATGTAAGAGGCAGGTCCACAGTGTTGCTTCCATCCCTCATGAGTGCCCTCTTGTGTGTGAAGCAGCTCTCCAAGGTTCCTTTCTGTGTTATGCTTAGGGTATCTTCGTGAAGCTTAACTAAGTGCCCATGCTCTTCTTTCAAAAGGTTGCTTTTGGTGCACACGCCTCCTGTTAATCCATTCATTCAGATAACCAATGATTAGAAAACACGTAGCTTTCTGACTTTGAAGTGGAGAGAAGCTATGGAAATGTTTGCCTATCCTTTATTCCTATGTTGCTTCAGGTGCCCATTGTGTCTCTGACTCCAGGCATCAAAGAAATGGGAGTAGAGTACTGAAGTTTGGGTTTTATGCATTTCTTGTCCTTTTTGGCTGAGGAACTGTGACACTGAAGGGGCCCCATGTCCCATTATGTTCCAGGAAAACCAGTGCAGCCTGTCAAGCGGGAACTGTTGCGGCACAGGGACTACAAGGTGGACCTGGAATCCAAGCTTGGGAAGACAATTGTCATTACCAAGACCACCCCACAGTCTGAGATGGGAGGGTGAGTTGCTGCTCCTCTTTCTCTGAAGCCAACAGAAGATCTAATGAACTATATTAGTCTTAGGAAGTCCTGAGAAAGGACCCTGGTCCCAGGATAACCACCTTTTCCCTTGTCATTCCAGTCTTGGATTTGTTTTTCTTTTTAATCTCCCAAGTTAACAAGATAATGTCTCTAGAAGCAGTCATTCTGCAGGTTCCCATTAGCATTGTAACTGCTTATTAGCATCTTACAAATAAATTATTTGTTCTTCTGCCAGAAAAGAGAAAGTAGCACTACTGAAGACTGTCTCGGGAGAAATCAGCTGGACTAGAATAGAGCCTAGGAGTTGTTGATGGTAAAGAAAGGAGCTCAGGGTTCAAGACAGGCTTTAAAGGTTGTGGTTGTTTAGATTGGCTGCCTGTGCACCTTCTCTCATCAAGACTATAACTTGTGAGGAAGGATTCCACAAGAGCTCAGCACTGTTGTAATTCCTTTGTTATCTCCTGCAGTGTAACAGATAACCCCAACACTTAACGGTTTAAACATCAAATATCTCACAGATCTCTATAGGTAAACAATATCTCTCAAAGCTGCTTCACAGTGTTGACTAGAACTACAGTCATGTAAGGTTTGAGTGGGACTGAGGATCTGCTTCCAATCCATCTCTTAAGACTGTTGATTAGAGGCTTCACTATTCTTCTCTCCATAGGGCTGCTCACCACAAGGCAGTTGACTTTACTAGAGCAAGTGACCGAGGAGGGAGGGACCTAAACAGAAGCTGTGGCCTTTTATAACCTTATTTTGAAAGTGATGTACGAACCCTAGTACTATGTGGGAGAAAAGTGTAGGAGTGTGTGGATACCAGGAGGCGGGGGCTGTCTAGGATTTGCTACTATACCTTCCCAAGAGCAAAAGCTTTATAAATTAGTTAACTCTATTCTAAAAAAAATTGAGCATATTTTACCTAAAACTTGATTGAGTGTCTTGATTGAAAGCAATAAGATTCTTACAATCCCAGGGGGCCTAAATCCTATTCTTCCTGTTTGTTAGCTATTACTGCAATGTCTGTGATTGTGTGGTGAAGGACTCCATCAACTTTCTGGATCACATCAATGGAAAGAAACGTAAGGCTTGGAGGTAGTTTGTGACTGTCTGGGAGTGGGTTTTGGAGGTAAGGGAGGGAGGATAGGGTGGTTTTTATTGGGCCCCTTTTTTATGCTTGTGCTTGGGGAATGCTCCAGGTGCTTCAGTACATACCGTCCTTTTCTTTCTGGAAGCCATGAGGTGAGATACTGTTTTAGGCTCTCCAGCCTAAACAGTGCTCTTCACCTATGCCCATTTGCCCCTACTGGTTGCCAACTAAGCTGCTCGGAAAGGGCTACTTGGGACTACTGCTTGTGGGAACAGGTGCGTCCATGGGAGTTTGTTTCAGTCATAATTATTTTTTCTGTGTGTTTTCAAGTTAGGAGGGTTTTTTTGAGGGGCTGGGGGCATCGTAATGTCTTTGTCTTTTTCTTTGTTGACCTCATCCAGATCAGCGAAACCTGGGCATGTCTATGCGAGTAGAACGTTCAACCCTGGATCAGGTGAAGAAACGCTTTGAAGTCAACAAGAAGAAGATGGAAGAGAAACAGAAAGATTATGATTTCGAGGAAAGGATGAAGGAGCTCAGAGAAGAGGTAAGGCTCCCTCCCTGCTACCCTCAGCCTGGAATTTTATGAGTCACGGGGAAACTCTTCCGAATTCTATTTCCACCACAGAGGATAATGGTTTCGTTTGCATTCCTTTATACAGTATAGGGGAAATGCTTGTTGGCTATGTTTGGGACTCATATTCTGAAAGAAATGGCTCTAAACCTACCCCTTTGTCTTGGATCCTCTGGGATTAACTTTATACACCTAGATCTCTGAGAGGCCCCCCAAAACAGCCTTGACTGGGTCCCAATTCTGCTAACTCCAGTTATTGGCTGTGTGTCTGAGGCAAGCTACTTCACTTCCCGTGTCTCAGTTTCCCCATATTGAAAATCTTAGTATAATATACATCAAACATTTAGAACATTTCCTGGTCTATTCTATATACTCTTTAGAATATTAGTTGCTGTTACATGTCTCCCCCCCCCTAAATCCTGTTAAGACCTATGCATAAACCTAGATTTAGTATTGAGAAGTAATTTCTCCAGAGGCTAAAATTTTGTCTCCTTTATAATCTTCACTGTGGATTTTCTTGTGATTTCATTTGTTTTTTCAAAAAGGAATCTGTCTCACTTGTACCTTTGGATAACTGTTTGACTCAGGGCTCTGCACTAATTCTGAGTGATTTCTCCCTCACCACAGGAGGAAAAGGCCAAAGCCTACAAGAAAGAGAAGCAGAAGGAGAAGAAAAGGAGGGCTGAGGAGGACTTGACATTTGAGGAGGAGGATGAGATGGCAGCTGTGATGGGCTTCTCTGGCTTTGGTTCCACCAAGAAGAGTTATTGAGGCTTTCTATGCTTGGCTCTTTGCTGGGCCTCATGTTGTATGTGTGCAGGTCATTTCTTTTGGGGGCACTTGGGGAAAGTCTGTAGGAGGGGCCAGGGCTGGAGAGTAGATGATTCTGCTTTCTCTCCACCTTGGGAGAGGGCGCAAGACAAAAGAGGTAATGCTGTGTGTGGCACATCCCTTCTTCCTCAGGATAGCACTGGAGTCACAGGACCTCTGCCCATCTGAATTCCCAATGAAGAAAACCTCTCCCTCTGGGGCTGTTTTCCCAAACTCCCCCTGCATCTCCCCTTCCTCATCTACTCAGCCCCATTGTCTGAGCATTCTGTGTCTATCCCGTGTTATGCCATTGTTTTAATTTTGACTTTTGCTCAGCCTGCAGCAGAAGGGTTCTCTGAGTACTCCAGTTTCCAGTTGATGGCATGTCCTTGGCCAGCCTGGTCGCTGTCCCATCCTGCCCTATGGTTCTTTAGCAGCACGCATGCATGTGTACTTCTGCTTGGGTCTGTGGTGTGTGTGAGTGTGTGTGTGTGCATGAATACGTCACGTAGAGGGAGCCTGAGCTAGAACCCCAGAGCGTTGCTGCCCTGGGGCCTGATGTTCTCTGCTTCCTCAGAGCATGTCACAGGAAATTAAATGGGATGAGTGTTTGGTGTGGTCTGTGTCTGGTGAGTTTTTTAACTTTTTTTTTCCAGCAGCAGACTGTTTCAGCTCATGTCTGTTTGATTTTATTGAGGAGTTCTGTTTCTGTCTTCCTGTGAGCAGGCTCTTTGAAGAACCTGTTTGATGCAAAAAAGAGAAAACCTCACTGTGGGAGCCCCTGGGTGGCAGAGGCTGTTCAGCATTTATAATAAATGGCATTAACTGGGCCTATTTCACATTTGGTGGGAACATTCCATATTTTCCTGTGTATGTGTTTGTGTGTATATATATATATGTTTTTCCTTCCCACGCTGAGGATTTCCATATAGAGATTATTTTTCATTTTCCCATCATTTGATCCATGTTTCTCTTTGTTTTTTGGAGGGGTGGGGCGCAAGGGTGGGGGTAAGAGGAGATAGCATTGGGGCTGGGGGTGCTAGGTTTTCTTCGATGTGGAGTCCTTTTGGCACTTTGGGACAGCAGAGCTCAGGGTTGCAGTCAGGATTGCCTTTACTATCTGGATTTGGGCTAGGTACAAGACTAGGACTACTCGGTCCTTGTTCTGTTGGCAGATAACTCTGTTCTGGGGGTTGATTTGGCAAGTTGCTAAGGTGTGGCAATCAAAAATGTTTCTCTTAGGGTAGAAGTCTTTTCCTTCCTCTTGTTGAGAACTGCTGAGAAGAAACTACTCTCTCTACCTTGACCTAAATTGAAGGTTAAAAAAAAAAAAGCCTGATCTTCCCTGGGATAGGTGCTGTGCTAGGTTTAGGAATGCATAGGAAAGGGCGGGGTGGGGGTGGAGGTGGAGTGTCCTTCCTTAAGAGAAAGGAAGACAGTCCGGTCATTACATCAATTTAGAGCAGATTACATGGTTAACTTTAGCTAGTTCCAAACTTTGAAACCATATGGGCTGTTTGCATTCTCTGACTCATCTAATTCATAGACTCATCTCATTTCTCACACCTTTCTGTAGTATCTAAATGTTAGGAGTTCCCAGAGCACTCTGCTATTCCCTTTGGACTTTGGTACAAGATTCTATTGCTGTCAGACATGGCTTTTCCCTAGTTTATTTCTGATCCTATGTATTGCCACCAGTGAGAGGAAATGTGGTGGCAGTATTTGTTGACTAATTGGGAAGATTTTAAGTGAGCGATTGCCTTGGCAGGATTACATGCGCTTCACCCTCTTTAGTACAGCTTTACCTAGTTGACTAGGTCATCTGCCCCTTTCTCAGCCAATCAGAAGATACCAGTGAAGTGAGGTCCACCTGGGGTGTAGTACATACTCTTTTTCTTCCCCTTTGGTATAGTGGAATGTTACCTCTACTCTAAAATAGTCCTTCTGAATTCCTTATTCTCTTAAATTCTCTTGGGATTGGCAAGTGGTTTCAATTTGGTTCAATATTTGGAAGGACTCATAGTGGTAGGTAGGAAAAGAAGAGGAGGGAAATGGGATGGAAATTCAGGAGCCCAGAGCAGTCCTAGAGGAAAATCTTGGGAGGTGGGGTGGGAGGAGTGGTGATATTTTATACTCAAGGTCTTTTAAAAAAAACCCACAAGTTTTGCATACTGATTTAGGAATAGATCCAAATTTTACTTCAATTTTGTTTTAATAGACCTTTTAAATAACTGGTAAATTTACATTTGGGTATAATGTAGCTACTCAAAAATTACAATTATGTCAATAGTGACTGATGGGAAGTTTTTAAAGATCTTTTAAGTACCCAACAAGCCCCGAAAGAAAACCTATTTTGTGTAGATACATACATAGATAAGAGAAAGGATGGAGGATGCACACTTAAGTAATTACCTGGGTAATGAAGAAAAAGTTAGCTGCTTATGGTTTATATAAAAGGGATAGGCGCTCATGTTGAAATGTTTTAAAGTAATAACTCCAGTGATAACAATTGTTAAAGTGCTTGGTGGCAAACTAGGAAGTCAGTTACAACCTATCAGCAATTCCCTGGAGAAAGGATCTGGCATTCTGTTTATATTCTATACAGATTACTGCCTAAGGAGCTCTATGAAACCGTTCTCTGCCCTACAAGGTGTCTATGAGTAAGAATGGTGGTCACACAACAAAATCAGAGCAATAAGTAGTAGAACTCCAGCACCTGGGAGAGGAGCGCTAGGATTTAATGTGGTTTAGCGGAGAAGCTCCAAGACAAAGCTGAGAGAAAAGGGAAAAAAACACACAGCTTTTTAGAATCCCAATATCCTGATCCAGATGGCCGAAGGACGTTTGTTAGTTTGTCTGGGAAGCGCTGAAGTGGAGGGGGTTCAAATACAAGATGAACCTCGACCATCTTGGGTCCAGAAAGTTAAAAAAAAAATACAACGCAAAACAAAACCCTCTTGTGTTTTTTTTAATTTGTATTTTTAATTACTGGGCTCTGGCAGACCCGGTGGCTGCTGTGCTGTAGGACAGGTTGAGCCCATTCGCTGATGGGAAGGCCTGGGGCTGTCTCCCGGGCAAGGTCCTCCCGGATGAGCACCTGTAGAGGTGGATGCAGACGGGACAGCTTTTCAGTTGCTGAAACAGACACTTTGAAACACCAGTAGCCTGGTCGACTTTCTTGTGTCTCAACCGTGTGACGCAATGAGTGTTCTAACGGTTCAGGAAATTGTCACAGGCAGGCAGCTACCGGCCTGGCTTTAGCTCAGCGGCTCCTTGTCATGCTGACTCCCCTTTCGAGGGGAGTCTCCCCACGTTTTCATCAGCACCCCAGTAAGTGTTCTCACGGTGCTCACTCCCCTGCCGTGTGCTCACGCAAGGGCACAGCTGCCCAGATGCTCGGCTCGCTCTCTCTCGGGACTGTAACCCTAGGGCTGCTAACCAGAAGGCCGGCAGTTCGACCGCACCCAGCGTTCCTGGGAGAAAAATGTCTGCGTCCGTCCAGACTGGCAACCAGGAAAACTGCGGGGTGGTTCTGCCCCATCCTATGGGCGCTGACTGCCCTGGAACTGGAAGGTGGGATTATAACATGAGAAAGGGCTGGTTCTAGGACTGGCGTAGGAAAAAAAATACAAGAGGAAGCAGAAAGTTAAAAAAATACAACGCAAAACAAAACCCTCTGGATAAAAAAAATTTGTGTAAGTAATACACAAAAATTTATTTTGTGTAAAATACACAATATGTGGTTTGTTTCAATAGTTATATCTAGTGTGTTTCCAGTCATTTTGTTGGACTATTTGGTTTGTCAGCTGCATGTTTGACTCCCTCCTATTATATAATGATTAGTGATTTCTATATTCCCTTTTCCCAATGTTTTAGTCATATTATTTGTGGAAAACAAAGGTTGCCTAATATTCTTTCAGCCTTGTCACTTTGTTTTAGTTACAGATTTACAATTTAATATACTTAATACCATTATATTTTCTGTTTTATCCCCTTGGTTGATGGAAGCTTTTGCCCCTATAAATTCCGCAGGAAGGGGTCCTGAATACAGTAGTCTGAGTTTCTGCATTCCAAAAACTGGTTTCAGTAGTTCTTTTTAATTGCAGCACAGCTGGGTTGGATATAAAATCTTGAGTTCCAGACTTTCTTTACTTTGAGTTTCTTCAAAATATTATGTCTTTGTTGTCTTTCTTTTTGTATGATGTGAAGCTAATGCCAACCTGATTCTCTTCTCTGTGTAAATAATCTAGTCTTTTTGCCTCAGGCCCAAAGGATTTTTTTATCTTTCAAATCTAACAGTTTTCTAAGATATGCCTCAGAGATGATCAGTCCATAGCAATTTTCTTAGATTTATGGAAGACCATTTTATTAATATTTATTTGGAAGGCTTAATTTATTTTTTAGGGCTTTTTCCCCAGCAGCTTTAATGGCATATAATTCACATATCATACAATTCAGTAGTTCAGTAGTTGTACAGTCATCATCACAATCGGTTTTAGAACATTTTTTAATTCTTGTGCTCGTCATTATTAGCTCTCCACTTCTCCCCAACCTCCCTTGCCTTACCCTGAAGGAATCATTAATACTAGTTACTGTCTCTGTAGATACACTAGATTTCATATACAGAAAAATATAAAAAGCAAACAAAAAATAGGAATCAGGAAATAAACCATGAAAACCTCAATCAAAAAGAAAGCAGAAAATATTAAAAACTAGAACAAATTTAAATGGATCATAAGTGAGATCTAATGATAGTGTGCTAACTTTTAACCTCACTGCATGTACGACAGTCCATTTTCCAATGCTTTCTGCTATGGGAAATCTATTCCCATCCCTGGTCCATAATCAAAAGGGATTCACCTAGGGTTTAATCCATGTGTATTTCCCCCCCCCTTTTTTTTAACTGCAGCAACTTTAAAATGGATCAAGAGGGAGAGCAAGTGATTAGACACAGCATTTTTATTTAATTACATCTGTCATAATCAACTACAGTGTTCTCTGTCTGATAGCAGGGCTATCCATATGCCTCAACTCTGATCAGAGAGAATTCAATGGAGGCTAAATCCATGTGTGGGGGCAGACCATTTTAATATTTAAGTTCAAATCTTCTTTCTAGAAAGTTAAAAAAATGTGATATGTATGAAGGGCTTCAGAAAGTTCATTGGATATTGGAATTAAAAGGTAATGGACTTTTCCGTGAACGTTTTTGAAGTGTATAT